TGGCCCGGAATCGACCCGGGGCCCTTTCAGTCCGAAAGCCGACGCTCTATCCACTGAGCCAAACCGGTTTCGGCAAAATATATATATTTTAAAAAAATCCCTCAGACGTGGCTCCCAGGTGCCCCTCGCCACCGGATGCCACAGTAGCGTGGGCTCAGGCAGGCTGGCCGGGTTTGAACCGGGACTGCTCACCCGCTCTGGCCGCGGCCCCGCTGCCAGGACCTGGGATGGTTAGAGAACGTGTGCTTTTCCTGAAGTTCCCGAAAACCCGTGGAAACTATGGAAAACGATGTCGTGACAAATATCCCGTGGGAGGCGGGTCACCCAGCCGCTGCCGGCCTAACGCGCCCTCCCCGCAGGGTGCCCTGGGCCCGGTGCCGCCAGGCCTACTTTGCGCGTGGGAAGAACAAGCAGTCGCTGGACGCCGTGGAGAAGGCGGCCTTCTTCGTGACGCTGGACGAGACCGAGCAGGGCTACCGGAAGGAGGACCCCGACGCGTCCCTGGACAACTACGCCAAGTCCCTGCTCCATGGCCGCTGCTTCGACAGGTAGTGTCCCCGCCCTGGGAGAGTGGCCGTCTGCCCGTGGCCGTGGAGGAAAGGGGTGTGGCCAGCCCCGCCTCCAGCATCTGGACCCTTCAGGAGTCAGGCTCGGTCAGAAATAGAACTTCTGATTTTCCTCTCTTCACCTGAAGGAGGGGTGGGCGCAGGACAGAAGAAACTTGTCTGTCTGATGTCCGTCTGTCTTTCACACACACACACACACACACACACAGGCACCCACTCGCAGCTGAGGCCGCGAATTTGAGTCTTCCCCTCTGTGCACGCCCGCCTCCCTTTGGGGATGCTAGTGAGGCGTGGCGGCCGGTTCCCCGGGCGGGGAAGGTGGCGGACGGGGCCTGACCTGGCTGTCGGCTCTGGTCCTGTGACGGTCAGGAGGCAGTTCCACCTCCCAGACCGCCTTTCCTTACCTGTAGAGGGAGGCCCGCCTGCCCGCAGGTGGGGTGCAGGCACGGGGAGCCGCCCAGCTCTCCAGAGTTGCCGCCGTGCCCTTGCTCGTTGTGATAACAGCCTGTTCTCGAGTCTTATCTGTGTGTCTGGACCAGGGAGGCGTGCGGGACTGCGCGTCCCGTGTGAGCCTGTATTTCACGGCACAGAGGTTTGCGGGCCGCGGGGAACTGTCGCGGGCTGGGTGCCAAGGCAGGGACCCCGTCCAGAGGGAAACAGTTACAGTGTCTGTATCGTCCTTCCTTTCGACGTTGAAGTTCCACGAACGTTTGTTTCCCACAGGTGGTTTGACAAGTCCTTCACGTTTATCGTCTTCAAAAACGGGAAAATTGGCATGAACGCCGAGCACTCCTGGGCCGACGCGCCCATCGTGGGGCACCTCTGGGAGGTGAGTTCTCGCAGGCGCGACCTGAGGAGGTTGCTGTTGGAAACCCATGCCCTGGCATGGATTTCATGTGATATTTGTCTGACTGGTTCACCTCTGGGAGGTGAGTTCTCGCAGGCGCGACCTGAGTGAGGAGGTTGCTGTTGGCATGGATTTCATGTGATATTTGCCTGACTGGGTTTTTAATATGTTTTTATGGATTTCACAGAGAGGAAGGGAGAGGGAGAGAGATGGAAACATCAACAGGAGAGACTCAGAGATTAGCTGCCTCCTGCACGCCCCCCACTTGGGATCCAGCCCACAGCCCGGGCATGTGCCCTCCTGGTTCATAAGTAGACGCTCAGCCACGGAGCCACGCTGGCCGGCGGGCGAGGTTCATTTTATTTTTTAGATATCGGATAAGAGAAGGTACAGGGGTTTGATCTTGGACCAGGTAGTATATTTAACTGTCCCTGCTCAGCGGACAGAATGGTCTGTGAGTCCAGGAACTGGACGGGAGCCCAGGTGCTCCCCACGGGGACCGGCGGGAACTGACCGTCCCGGTGGAGGTCCGTCAGCGATGTGTGCCAGTTAAAAACAGATCTAGTCAAAGGTCAGCGTTGCACCCCGTTTGCTCTCAGTGGGTTTTTGATGTTTAAATGTGCTGGGCTTTCGGCTCTGATGCCCAGCAGCTCAGATGCAAGGACCCTGCCTCCTGTGCTGCTCAGTCTGCGTGGCCCTCACCACACGTGAACGCGGGCCCCCCACGCTCCCCCATCCCGGAGCCCTCATTCCCCTCACCGTTGACAGGGTCACCATCTGACAGGGTCACCATCTGCCTCCCCACTGGCATGTAAGCCCCTGAGCATAGGGTTCCATTTTTTTTTAATTATTATTATTTTTTTTTTAGTGAGAGAAAATTGACGGACCGTAAAATTCCCTCTCTTGAAATGTACAATTCAGTGGGCTTTGTATATACACAGGTGGTTGTACAAACTATCAGCACTATCTAATTCCAGGACATTTTCATCACCCCCCAAAGGAACTCCCCATCTGCCCCAGCCCCTGGTGACCTATTAACCTGCTTTCTGCCTCTGGATTCGCCAGTTCTGGCCGTTCCATAGAAATGAGATCACACAGTGTGGGCTTTTGTGTCTGGCTTCTTCACTTGGTGTGTTTACAAGGTCTGCCTGTGCTTTAGCATGAGTCAGTGCTTCGTCCCTTTTCATGGCTGTATAGTATTCCTTCGTATGGGCAGGCCACACTTTATCCAATTTATCGCTTGATGGGCATTTGGGTTGTTTCCACATTCTGACTGCTGTAAGCAGTGCTCCCATGAACATGTGTGCACAGGTTTTATGTGAACATATGTTTTCATTTCTCTTGAGTGTAAACCTAGGGTTGGACTTGGTGGGTCCTGTGGCCGTATCCACTGGTGGAGGGAGGGCAGCCATTCTTGTCTGTTTTGTTGACTGTTCTGTCACGAGTGCCCCATAACACCCGTAGGTGCGCAGCGGGCACCGTGGAAGAGATTGTGAAAAGGGGAAATTCGCCGCTGCCCTCAGGTCCTGCCCCTGAGGAGGGTCAGCTCTGAAAAGTGGCTTCCCCTGCTCTCTGAGCCGTTTCCTCACTTACACAAAAGACCTTTCGGTCCAGACATAAATGCTCAGTGGGGCGACTCTAGAAAACACTAGCCCGCAGCCGGACGCAGCGGTGGCTCCGAGCGCCCCCTGTGAGTGGCAACCTCACGTGTCTCCTGCGTCCAGTCTGGGTGGGTGGGCCTCTCCGGGGCTCTCTTCTTGGCTCTGAAGTGGAGATGAACACCATTTGCCTGTGCATAGTCTCTCCTGGCCGCACGGAGGACTCAGCACGCTGTGAGCATGTGCCCGCCCTCAGTAGCTGCTGGGAAGTCTTAGCAATCTCCTATATATATAAAAGGCTAATATGCAAAGTGTCCCCTCAGGAGTTGGACTGGGAGACCGGGAGTTCAGTCGCTCGCTATGACGGGCACTGACCACCAGGGGGCGGCGCGGAACCAAGGAAGGCCCCGGCCCGCAGCCAGCAGCTGGGGAAGGAAGGCCCCAGAAGGCCCCAATCAACCCTGATCGCTGGCCAGGCCTAGGGACCCTACCCATGCAGGAATTTCATGCACCGAGCCTCTAGTATCTCTATAAGAACAAGGATTTGCCAGGTTTGGAGGACAAATACGTTTTTGTTTTTGTTTTTTCTTTTCGTTTGTTTTGTTAATCCTCACCTGGGGATATTTTTTCCATTGCTCTTCAGAGAGAGTGTAAGGAAGCGGGGAGAGGGAGAGAGAAACATCGATGCGAGAGAGACACACCGACCGGTTGCCTCCTGCCTGTGCCCTTGACCAGGAATCAAGCCCTCTACCCTTTCGCGTTCGGGTGGGCACTCTAACCACTGAGCACCCTGGCCAGGTGGGACAAATACGTTTTCCCTAACACTGTGGACGGTATCATCTTCTCTGACTTCCACGTGTGTCTTTTCCCCGACAGTACGTCTTGGCCACTGACAGCTTCCAGCTGGGCTACTTGGAGGATGGACACTGTAAAGGGGACACCAACCCGAGTATCCCACCCCCCACCCGGCTGCAGTGGGACATCCCGGAGGAGGTGAGTGGGCCTGTCACAGGTGCTAGTCCCCGTGGCGGGACCTGTGCTCGCAGCTCAGAGGGAGACCACGGAGGCCGAAATTCGTCCGCCTCACAAATTTTTGCTGAGGCTGTGGAGCGGCTCCAGCTCCTGTTGCCTGAGAAACCCCGGTGAATACTTCTTCTTCCGTTTAGAGCTTTTAGCTAAGATTGTCAGGGAGGGTTCCAGCTCAGACTCAGCTACCCTGCGCAGTGAAAACGTGACAAGCTTCCTTTTACAGCTGAAATACTCTAAGTCAGTCACGTATCACGTTTGTTTCTCCTAAAGATTCTCAGATGTCGTCCATTCAGTCCAGGTTTTTTCGGGGAGGAATTTTAGGGCTGGGAATGCCAAATCCTGGCTCGCCTAATCCACGCAGGAATTCCTGGGGCCCAAGAAGTAATTTTTTTTTAATTTGAAAAAAATATTTATTTCTTATTTAATGAAAAGAACAATGTTCAGCAATGCACTTTTAAAATCCCCTGGTTGTAAACTGTTTGTAGAAATACCCATAAGGTACCCTTGCAGACCTCGGCATCATCGGGTTTAAAATTTTATTTCAATCCTCACCTGAGGACATGCTCATCGATTTCAGAGAGAGGAAGGTAGACAGAGATAGAGAGAGAGAGGGAAACATGGATGTGAGAGAGAAACAGCGATCAGGTGATTCCCATAGGCCCCAACCGGGGTCTGAACCGGAACCTGAGGCATGTGCCCTGACCGGGAGTCGAACCCGAGACCTTCCCGTGTAGGGGACGATGCTCCAACCGACAGCCACCCGGCCAGGCTGCGCCACGTTTTCTATTTTGTTGTGAGATTTGAACTCACTGGGGGCTGGAAGTCGTTTCCGATGTAGAAAATGAAGGGCCTAGCGCGGAGACTCCCAGCCCCGTCTTCCCGCCCTGTGGCCCCTCTTCTGCCTTTTCCCGCCGTCACAGCTGGGAGCGCTGAGTCCGGCGCCTCAGGCGGCCTTTCCTGCCTCGTGGCTGCAGTGAAGGCCCCTCCACGTTACTTCACGGCTGGAAAGCTCATTTCCATTGTGTGGTTGGACCGCAGCCCATTAATTTTTTGCAAAGGGTCCTCGATCGCCCCTGTAGAATAATGGGTTTTGCAGGGCACACCCGCGGCTGCTGGGAGTGCCCTTTGGGGTCCGACCGGGAACCAGGAGGCCCCGTGTCCCAGCTGTGCTCTGCCTGCGGGGGCCCCACGGCTCCTCGAGGAGGCGGGTGGTGGTGCATGTGGCAGACACATGGCAAGAGCCGACGAGAGAACACGGCGTCTGTGTCGCCAGGCGACAGCTCTGTTGGCTGCGCTGGGATGCTCCTCCGCGCGCGCGTGTGTCAGCACTTCCCCCACAAGGGAAACCCTCCCTCCTCCTCCCCCAGTGTCAGGAGGTGATCGAGACGTCCCTGAGCAGCGCCAGCCTCCTGGCCAACGATGTGGACTTCCACTCCTTTCCCTTCGACGCCTTCGGGAAGGGGCTGATCAAGAAGTCCCGCACGAGCCCAGACGCCTTCGTGCAGCTGGCCCTGCAGCTGGCGCACTACAAGGTGAGGTGCGGGCTTGCCGGGAGCTGGGTCCCTGCGGGGGGCTGAGGCCTGTCCAGGGAGAGGCCCGGCGTGCGGCCAGGGTGTGGCTTCACGTGGTGGCTGGGTGGGGCGTGGCAGTGTCCCCCAGCCCACAGGACGGGGAGCGGAGCACAGCCAGATCTCACTGGCCTACGAAGTGGGAACTTAGCCCTTAAACTCAGCTCCAACCCCGAGGGTTTGGTGAAGCGGACACACTTGGGGCAGGTGACTGATGTCTCTGACCTTTGACATGGACTAAGTTTACTCATGATTATAGATGCAATAGACTCTCCCAGATGGTCCACGGCTGTGTTTTTTTAAAATATATTTTTATTTATTTCAGAGAGGGAGGGAGAGGGAGAGGGAGAGAAACATCAATGATGAGAGAGATACATCTATTGGTTGCTTCCTGCATGCACCTGACCGGGGTGGGGATCGAACCTGCAACCCAGGCATGCTTCGTTGGCCAGGAACTTTTTAATGCGTGCTCAGTTGAGCACCAGCTCTGTTAGGGACGGGGCTCTCTGTGGAGCTGAGGGTCAGACCCATCTCTGCCATGGCGCGGCCTCAGTCCAGGCATCCTGCCTGGACCTGGGTCCACTCCAGGCTTCTGAACCTTCTCTGCACCAGGACCCCTTGGGCAGTTTGGCAACGCCATGGGGACCCTTCCCAGAACAATGCTTGTAAAGCATAACAGGAAATACCCGGGTTACAAAGGTGAACCAGGTAATTAAAATGCAGGTGTCAGGATACTCAACATGAATTTGTGGTGCAGGAAATCTAATTCTTTGTGCACTAAAGTTCGAGCAGCAGGTCTAAGCACGGCTGTAACTTTGAGGCAGTGATAAGCGTGGATGATATTTTGGAATATGTGCAACGAAATGTACCTTGATGTGAAAATAGCTACGATTTTCTATTTAGAGTCACAGGCATTGCTCGTGATTACTGTGGCTTATTGCCTGTGCTTCTAAAGCTGATGGTCCAGCTTGAGGTTAGTGGAGATTAAAATATTTGTATTTTCCCTCCCAAGTTCACACAGCCCCAAGGTTAGTAACCAGTGATCTGGTCCCTGGCTACCCTCCCAGCCATCTCTAATACCGCTATGAGCCTCATTCACTGTGTTTGTCACACTGCCCTTCTTGCTGCTCTTGAATATGTGAAGCTCATTCCTACCACAGGGCCTTTGCACCTGCTCTCTGCCGGCAGGTGCTCTCTCCCGGAGTGAGGCGTGGTTGCTTAGGTCTCTCTCACGGTGCCCCCATCTCCTGTTGGGAATAGCCGCCACCCCACCGCTCTCCACTAACCCAGCAGCGTCATTTCTGCTCAGTGCACCTGTCACTCACCGTGTGACCTCACGTCCTCTCTCCTGCGGGACTGTTTGCTCCTCGAGGGCAAGTGCATGGTCCGTCTTCTTTGCCACTGTATCCGCAGAGCTGGAACACGCCGGCCACGCTGTTAGAGATGTCAGCAAATACATATTGAATGACTGGCCGATGCGACCCTGGACAGTGGCCACCACTTTCGTCTGTAGTCATTTGCCTCCTGCTTGTAGGCATTTTATTTCTCATTAGGGAACCGGGCTGAACATGCCCCCCCTACACGGTTGGGCGCCGGGCAGCAGTCGCTGTGTCACAGGTCTGTTCTCACGCCGCGCGTGTTACTGTCTTTGTAGACGTTGCCTCTCCATCCTGCGCGCTAGACACCGGAGGCGCCTTGGCGGCGGCGAGCGGCCGCTCCCGGTGGCGGCTGGTTGTGGCAGGTTAGGGGGCCTGGCTCTGTCAGGGGCTGAGCGCTCTATAGCCTGCGTTTGCCAGGAGGTGTCTGAGGGTCCTTTTTGCAGGGGTGGCTCTTGTGCATGACGGTGCTACACGTTCCAGTTTGACGTGGGAAAAGCTGACTTCAGATGAATCGTTGCATCCTGTGTCCCCCGTTAACCTCTGTTCGTGACTAAAATGCCTCACTGATACTTTCTCCTGCCCCCTTCTCCCCTCCCACCTCCCCACTCCTTCATAATGAGCCCCTTGAGAACACTGTGATACGGGCCTGTGGGGCGCTCTGAAGGGCTGTGTGATAAACGACCTGGGGTCCCTGCTCCCCGAGGACGAGAGCCTCTCAGACCCTGTCCGAGGGAAGCCGGGTGACGGTGCCTTGGTGACCAGTGCGGTGAGTCGGCGGTCTTTGTTGGGGTCACCGTGGAAGCCTTCAGTGTGGACCCCAAGAGGCTGGGCACAGTCACCGTGGCGAGGGGAGCTCACCACAGGGCTCCCGCCCCTTGCCCAGGCCTGCCGGCTTCGCGTGCAGGAGTTCAGGACCGGAGGGAAGGGGGACTGTCCGGCGACCCAGCAGCCGCGGGAGAGGGAGAGCTCCCAGGGCTGGACCGCACATGGGAAGGTCAGCCCTGGTGTTGGCACCCTCTCCTGGGTGTCGCAGGGCACCCTCTGTCACCCTGGGGACCCCAGGGCCTGTGCCAGGGCACACCTGAGAGCCTGGGCGTTGTCTGGTCAGGAATCATTTGGGTCCACAAACGGCCACTACAGTGTCTGCCCCATGTGGGGACCCTGCTCATCCCGGAGCTGCCTGGTGGCCATGGGAAAGTGCAGATTGCGAGTTGTCTCCTCACACGGCGCATGTGTTCGGGCGTCACAGGCCCTGGGACCCGTCTCTGTCCTCTCCCCTGCTGCCTCCCTCCGAGCCCTCGCTGGGCTGTTGTCACAGCACCCCGGGCCCTTCTGCCTGCCACCCCCACCCCTTTCTAGTCCGGGACCCACCTTGCCCTCCTCCTCTCCTCAGCCGTCAATTTCCCGGCTTGATTCCACATCCCTGACCTGTGACCCCAAGCACAGCCTGGTTCAGTCCAGCTCTCTGCCCGCGTCATCCGGCTCCCGGGAGCCGGCGTGGCCAGAGGAAACCCCAGGTCCCCGCTCGTCTCACTTGATTGATGAGCAGTGACTCTGGCGGCCGCCGGGCACCCTCTTTCTGTGGCCCTAAAGGCCTGGTTCACCCCTCTCAGACGTCAGCACCTCCTCCCGTCCTTACTCTCAGCGGGTGACCTGTGTCATCGAGGAAACGGGAGTGTTTCATAGAGACCCCGTCTACCCCCACCGATAATCTAGAACAGGTGCATGCAGGCCTGCTTGTCGTGTTCATGCTGTAGGCGTGTGAGCAACCGGGGAGGCGTGTGAGCACTCGGGGAGGCGTGTGAGCACTCGGGGAGGCGTGTGCCGTGGCGTCAGTTGCATCGGGAACGGACTCCCAGCCTTTCTAAAGCTACCGGCGTCTCCGTCTGCCTGCTGCATAACCCGTGTGAAAACTGACGATGGCTAAAACCTGAAGCTGACCACCACGCCCACGTTCCCTTGCGGACCCTAACCCGCCCGGCTCATGTGTCTGCGTCCTCCGTGTGCCTTGTATGGAAATGCCTTTCCTTTCCCAGGACATGGGCAAGTTTTGCCTCACGTACGAGGCGTCCATGACCCGGCTCTTCCGAGAGGGGAGGACGGAGACCGTGCGATCCTGCACCGTGGAGTCGTGCAACTTTGTGCTCGCCATGGCGGACCCCTCCCAAACGGTAATGAGACGCGCTTCTCACGCTTCTCCTAGAGCAGCGGTTCTCAACCTGTGGGTCGCGACCCCTTTGGGGGTCGAACGACCCTTTCACAGGGGTCGCCTAAGACCATCGGAAAACACATATATAATTACATATTGTTTTTGTGATTAATCACTATGCTTTAATTATGTTCAACTTGTAACAATGAAAATACATCCTGCATATCAGGTATTTACATGACGATTCATAACAGTAGCAACATTACAGTGATGAAGTAGCAACGAAAATAATTTTATGGTTGGGTCACAACATGAGGAACTGTATTAAAGGGTCGCGGCATTAGGAAGGTTGAGAACCACTGTCCTAGAAGGACCCTGCCCGGGGTCTCTGATGAAATCCTGTGTGAACCTGCTCATTGCGACTCCATGTTCGCCGCCTCCTTCCCTCCACCCTCTCACGGGAGCAGGAAGTTAAAGCGTAAGGTCGGGACACACAGGGGCGGACCAGCTGAGCCAGTCCTGTTGTTCTGCAACTCCTACACCAGAGGCTCCCGAGGGCCTTTCAGTTAGAAGGGTGCTCAGCAGAGGCACGAGGCAGGGAGCAGTCGGTGTGCACTGAGAAAAGGGTGACCCCCCCCCTGGGGGGGGCCTTGAGCTGGGTGACTGCGGCCCAAGCAGGCGGAGGCCCCGGCGCCCTGTGCACCGCCTTTGGACATCCCGGCGGTGGCCCGGGAAGTGTTACCAGTTCATTTTTGTAGATAGAGGAACCCAGACGCAGGTGAGCTCAGCCCGGGTCTGCCTGACCCAGAGCGTGCGCGCACACACACACACACACACACACACACACACACACACCCTGGGCTCAGCTCGGCTCTGCTCTGCGGGGCGGGCGCTTGGTTCCAGAAAGCTTTTCGTTCTGAGGAGGGAGCAGCCGGTGTGGAGGCAGATCCCCCGGATGGCCAGGTCTGCGAGGGGGTCACACCTGGACGGGCCTCCCTCATTCTGTGACTGGCCTCGCAGAGCCCAGATGTCAGACGTGAACGTCCAGAAGGGCTGTTTGAGCGGAGTAATGCTACCCGGGCTGCATGCAGGACCCCAGGCCTCCAGGCCTCCTCCACAGCCTGGGGAGGGGCAGCCCGCGGGGGGTAGGGGAGGGCGCTGAGCAGGTCGCCTTGGCCATGCCTCCCGGACACCCCAGTGGCCTGACGGTCAGCATCCTGTGAGACCCCCGCCAAGAAGGGCTGGGACCTTCCCTTTGGAGCTTGGGCTGCGCCCCACAACCTGACGCGCCCCGTCCTTGGTCACTCAGATGGAGCAGAGACTGCGATTGTTCAAGATCGCGTCGGAGAAGCACCAGCACATGTACCGCCTGGCGATGACCGGCGCGGGGATCGACCGCCACCTCTTCTGCCTGTACGTGGTGTCCAAGTATCTGGCCGTCGAGTCTCCGTTCCTGAAGGAAGTAAGTCCCTCTTCCTGTGGCGGCTCAGGGCTGACCCAGAGCGTAGTGAGTTAGGGCAGCGGTCGCCAACCGGTGGCCCGGGAGGTCCGAAAGGTTGGCGACCACTGAGTTAGTGGGACCGCTTCATGGACCGGGCCGGGCGGAGCCCAGGGTGGGAAGTGGGAGCTGTGGTCTCGGCCCCAGACCGCTCTGCTCTCCCCTCCTGACTTACGGGTGTGACCAGCCCCCAGAGCACAGATACTAGTAAAATGCACTGAAACAATTCAGAAGTGCCGAGCCCTGAGTATGCCTCACCTGCGTTGTTAATAGAGTTTACTGCATTTTAAGTTGATAAAATGTAATTTCTAGGAATGGCTGTTTCACAAGCAGCTTGAGAGATTTCTGAAAGGCAGCAGTTGGCTCACCGGAGCTGGTGCCACTCGGCTCCCGCAGCCCAGGGCCCCCGTTACGAATCTCCATGTCTCTGCCACCTTTTGTGCCAAAGACGTGTTGGCTGGTGTTGGCCCCTCCAGCCCAGGCGTCCTCACCTACTCCGCCCCTGCTGCAGGTGTACCGCCCCGAAACAGTCCAAAAGCGAGCAGGCTGGTCCTTGTCTCTCCCGGGCCCCTGGGGACCGCGAGGGCGGGGCTTGGAAGAGGGTCATGGGAACACGTCCTTGCTCCCTCCCAGGTCCTGTCCGAGCCCTGGAGGCTGTCCACCAGCCAGACCCCTCTGCAGCAGGCGGAGCTGTTTGACTTGGAGAAAAACACGGAGTATGTGTCCAGCGGCGGGGGCTTCGGGCCGGTAAGTAGACGGGCCTCGGTGTGCACGGAGCGGCAAGCCCCGGGCCAGCACGTGCCCGTCACGCCTGTCTGGGTTCAGAGCGCCACAAAGGAATTCCTGCTGCTTATTCGTACAGATGGGTTTCGTTTTTATGGTTTTTTGTTCACAAATAGGATTTGTTACTTGTCACCGTTAAAAGCAGGGGTCCTCAAACTACGGCCCGCGGGCCACATGCAAATACAAATATTGTATTTGTTCCCGTTTTGTTTTTTTACTTCAAAATAAGATACATGCAGTGTGCATAGGAATTGTTCATAGTTTTTTTTTAAACTATAGTCCGGCCCTCTAACGGTCTGAGGGACAGTGAACTGGCCCCCTGTTTAAAAAGTTTGAGGACCCCTGGTTAAAAGCCTGAGCTTAAATCTCAACTTACTTTGTCCTGCAGGTTGCTGATGATGGTTACGGCGTGTCCTACATTCTGGTGGGAGAGAACCTCATCAATTTCCACATATCCTCCAAGTTCTCCTGCCCTGACACGGTACAGACCAAAGCCCCCCTCCCCTTGAAAGATGGGGTATTTTTGTGGTTGTTGTTGTTGTTTTATTTTTTGAATATACATATATATTTTATAAATTGATTTCAGAGAGGAAGGGAGAGGGAGAGAGAGATAGAAACATCAATGATGCAAGAGAATCATTGATCGGCCGTCTCCTGCACACCCCCCACTGGGGATCAAGCCTACAACCCAGGCATGTGCCCTTGACCGGAATTGAACCTGGGACCCTTCAGTCTGCAGGCCAACGCGCTATCCACTGAGTCAAACCAGCTAGGACTGTTTTTTAAAATACTTTTTTTTTTATTGATTTCCAAGAGGAAAGGAGAAGGAGAAAGAGATAGAAACATCAATGATGAGAGAGAATCATTGATCGGTGGCTTCTTGCACGGCCCTTACTGCGGATCAAGCCCACAACCTGGGCATGTTCCCGGACCGGGAATCAAACCGTGGCCTCCTGGCTCATAGGTCGGTGCTCAACCACTGAGCCACGCCAGCTGGGCTCAAATCATGTCCTTAATTTGACAGAAATTCTCAATTACGTACTTTTACTTGGTTTGGAGCTTTTCAAATTAGTGAATTTTGAAGTTCTCTTACCTTTGTTTTTAAAGAAATGATCTTTTTGATTCAATGTTTATGTTTGTAGCAGTGGTTTTAAATGTTAGTGTTGGAGAGCTTGTATAATGTTCAGACCCTGCCACACTGGAGGGTTAACGTGCGCACACAGAGACACACAGACACACACATGACAAGGCAGGGGTCTTTGCGGTTGCTTGAATGGAACACGCCCCCCCCCCCCCCCCGTCCTAGGGTGGCACATTAATCCTTATTTATATCCTCTCCTGTCCACATTACGTCGCCTGGCAAGCAAGGCCCAGAGGAGACTGGAACTCGTGTACGTCTTGTGCTTTACGTGGAATTTAATGCCCTGACAGGGACCACTTCAGGTCCGACACACACCCACGCAGCACGTACAGCCTGTGACCGCTGGGACCCTCACCTGTCTCCAGGCGTGTCCCTGGGGGATTACAGGTGAAGTCCAGGCTTAGGGACCCAGCAGAAAAGAAATAGTCGCTCTTCCCGGAGTCGGGTTACGGGTTACGTGGGGAGAGGCTGGAAAGGGGGGAATGGCCACGTGGTAGCATGTGTTTATGTGGTGTATTTTGTTTGTTTTCAAACGAAAGGATTCTCATCGCTTCGGGAAGCACCTGAGACAAGCCATGACCGACATCATCACTCTCTTTGGGTTCAGCTCCAACTCCAGGAAGTAACTCCCAGGACGGCTGCGGGAAGGACAGAGGGGCTCTTCTTCCGACAAAAACCAAATGAAAAATAGCTGTTACTCCTGATCCTAGTTCAGGATGGAAATTTGCTCTAAAAGACTCACAACTGTTCTTGCCGTCGAGGGTTTGGTGTTTTCTTGTTTTCCCAGAGCAGCGGGCTCCACCCCGTGAAGTGTGGCCCTACTCCTTTCAGGCAGGTTCCCAACGTGGGGGGCACTTGCGGAAGCGCCCCGAAACTCTTCGCATCAGCTCGCGCTTCCTGGGGGATGGAACTGTCACGAGGGTTGTGACCTCACACGTGTTGAAAATGGGATGGTCACACTCCTCGGCGGCGACCTGGTACTTAGGGGCGTTTAATTTTTTCAGAGTAAAACTAAAGTGTGTTCCGTCCGTCCGGGGAGAAAGCGCTGGGCTGGAGGTGTTGGCAGCCAACAGCTGACGCACACGTAACGCACTAACGGGAACGCTGTGCTGCCCAACACCGTTGTCCCTGTGGTCACCGTCCTCGTCCAGTTTGGTCTCGTGTGTGTGTGTGTGTTCGCCTGTCCGAGTTGCAAGCATGTAGTTCGCGCATCTTTCGTTTTCCCGACCTTGTGAGTATTCAGATCCCAGTGCCTTAACCACGGAAGGCCCTAAATGTAAGGGAGACCGGACAAGGGGTTTATTTTTAGTCTTTAGGTGGAATTGTGGGTGTCTGACTCCTCAGTTTACTGAGCGGATAACCCTAAACAGGCATTTTCCTGTGGTTCCCGTACCCCGAGAAAGACCGGCGCCCTTCTGAGGGCAGCTCTGTGGGCTCCCCCACGCCACTGCCTGCCTTGAGAGCGAGTGGACGTGCGTCAGAAATGGGGACATTGGATGGTTCCATATTGCGTGTCTGGAGCCTCCCCTGAACAATAAAACATACCGTGTGCCTCGTACTGCTTACCAAACTCACGGCAAGCAGACGAGACTTCTGCCCCCGAGAAAGGAACAAAACTTGAGCAAAGTGTCTGGAGGGGGCAGCGCCGACGCGCCGGGCGGGGAGCTTTCTATCCCGCCTGACGAGAGAGCACCCACTTTGTGTCCCAAGGAGCTGGGGAACCAGCGAAAGTGTCGCAAGCGAGCCCGACCATTGTGGCTGTGGCTGAGTGTCGACCCATGAACCAGAGGTTGAGGTCTGATTCCCAGTCAGGCACATGCCCCAGTTGTGGGCTCGATCCCTAGTGGGGATGTACAGGAGGCAACCGATCGATGATTCTCTCTCTTCATTGATGTTTCTCTCTCTTCCTCTCCCTGAAATCTGCAAAAATGTATTTTTAAAAAATGTTGCGCGTGATGGGTGCTGGTTTCACACAGCCTACCCTTCAGATGGGCGTGCCTTACCGAAAGAGGTGAGTGACCAAAAAACACGTACGCACTGAATCGTCCTCAGTATTTAATGTAAAAAGGAAGGATCCCGGAATTTGAAACACCACTGTCTCGGCCTCCTGGCGAGTGTGGCTGTCCACTTAAAGAACTGTGTTTGTTTTCTGACCACTTTGTCCCCGCTGGGCTTGCCTCTGTGAGGGCGGAAGGATCGGAGGAGGAGAAGGTGCCGGCCACGGAACTCGGCATGGTTTACTGTGTCTATGTTGTCATGTAAAAACCCCATCTGAGTGGGCCAGAGAGTTTTTATTTTTTCTCTTAAAGCAAGAAGAAATGAAAACAGAAAGAAAAACACACAACCATAGTGAGAAAAACCCCAGTTCATCTGTGGTACACAGCTCAGGCGGCGTGGGTCCCTCCGAGCCGCCTGCATCACGCATTATTGACCACTGACCAGTCTGTGTTACCAAGCGTTCAAATGTACACGTGTTAGCACTCAAATATATTTGGGCTTATCTCTCAGGTTTTAAATATTTTTGCTAATCAGTGCAGTTGTCAATGCAATTTTTATATTCCTTAAAAGATGGAAGAGTGGGTTTTTACTGTACATGTTGAAAGGAAGAGGTAAGAGTATTATGTATTTAATTTAATTTGGAACAAACCATGGTCTTAAACCAGAGCTGTGGTTTGAATTTGTTAGCTTGGACTGTCCATTGCATGTAAATACAATATGATCTTTTGGTTGTAAATCTTAGAAATGTAGTATGAATGTTATCATTAATAAAAGCATTAATCCAGTCTACTACAGCCTTTGTTTCTGACTCTTTTGTTCTGTTACCAAGGAGGTTATAAGTCAGATACCAAGCTGGGGCACTTGGGACCAAGATAAGAAACTAAGGTTTGCAGGAAAAGGCCTGAGGTCAGGCAGAGTGGATGGCACTGGCTTCGTGCTCTGGCTGAGAAGGGAGGCTGGTAAGTGGGGCTGTGGATTTTCACTCTACATCCATTCATTCATCCACTCCCTTGTCCTGTGCCTAGAACAGTGCCTGACATATAGTAGCTGCTCAGTAACTACCGATCCAATGAACGCATGGGTTCCGTTTCCCCACAGTTCTTATTGAGCGCCCACTGTGCTAAGCACTGTTTTACGCACTGGGAATAATATGGGGTGGGGCCACAACATTAGTAACAAAGAAACAGAATTTCCGGAGGATGAGGCCCAGAAATCAGGATTTTAAAAAGATTCCCAGGTGATTCTAATGTGCAGCCAAGGTTGAGAACCACTGCAGTAGATGGAGATCAGATTCCAGTGGGAGGAGTTAACCAAGAGAACCAGTCAAAAGGGTTGTAAGTGTCCAAGGCAGGCCAGGGGACCATGGCGGGGCGCGTCTAGCAGGAGGAGGGGAGAGTAGCAGGCCCAGGAAGGGGACTCACTTAGTAACGGGTTTGAGGGGAGACACCCAGCAGGGCTCAAAGAGCAGCTTGTGGCCAGCAGTCTGGGTGGCTGTGCACATCAGAGGTGATGCCTGACACCTGGGAGCATGCTCAGTAAAGATGTCTGATGTGTGAATGAACGAATGGGGTGGTGCGCTCGCCCGGGCTGTTCAAGCCACTCGCTTTTTTACTTGGGCTCTTGGATTTACATTAGCTGCCTTCTATCCCTACAGTTGTACTCTGCCCCTCACACCCCCACCCCCTGAACTCAACTGAGTTCAACATGATTATTTCAACCATAAAATTATTAGCGTAAAGCCATCTCCACACATATATGCAAATCCCCCAGAAAGGGCTGATAAGACTTCCTTCACAGTGACCCTCCTTTGCAAGGCAGCGTGATTAGGGACACCATGGTGCTCAAGGGACTGTCAGCTTTATCTGATATTTAAATATTCCAGGTGGAGGGTTTGTTTATATAATTTGTATAAAACCGTCCTAGTTTTAATCTGAAGAAGCCGCTAGAGCCTTCTAGGGAGTCCTGCCCTGTGGATCACAGGAACAGGAAGTGAATGTCCAAAAAGTGGGCGTGAGCTTCCTTTCAAGTCAAGCACGTTTGTCATAAACTAGTTGCTGGGAATATGTTTTAGGTCATTCACATGGCAGGAAAATTCCAACAGGGGTATCTTAATTACATTGTCTTCTTTTGAACTAAACTTTAATGTCCCAGAAAAAAATTTCAGGTAAGCCCTAGCACACTTAAGGCTGTGCCTTGAATTTGGGAATTCTCAACTGCATGAAATTTTTCTTGGCATTTCTTGAATGGTAAAGTGTACAGCTAAATGGCAGTATACAGTGTTGCTGTCTTGGTTACTGTTTGAAAAGTTCAAATTTTTAAAAATGAGATTAGGAAGTTGATGTGTTTACATTTTAATTTTACCCAAACAATACTTGCACGTGAAACGGAACCTGAGAGTTATGGTGAATCTTCGCCCCGGCCCGCCCCTCGCATCCCCAGAATCCCTTTCAGCTCTGCCCTTAGGGTTGGCAGGTCAGGCCATCCCCCTGAATGGGCGTTCACTTCTATGGAGGGTGGCTCTAGCTCACTCCCCACGCAAAGCGTGCGGCACCTTAGTGTGAGCTGTGTCTAGGTTTGCGGGACTCCGCCTCCTCCCCAGCATCAGTCATCAAGGTCGGGTGCTTATCTTGGACTAGGGATGCCCAGTTCTCAGTCTCACGTCCCAAGCTGCAGCACCAAGGATGTGACGTGTGTGCTCGGCCTGGCCCTCTGTCCACTCGCAGCGATGGGGGGGTGGGGGGGCGAGCTCTGCGGAGCTCGGGAGCAGAATAAGTATATTTTAAAGACTAAAGTCATAAGTCAAGCGAGGGAGTCCCAGATGGGTCTGGGGGCCTCAGTTTCCCCACCTGAGCCTGGAGCTGCTGAGCTCCAGGGTGTCCTTCCTGCCCACCTCCACGCAATGGCTGCTCGCTGGTCCCGGCCTGC